ATTGACGCACTAAACAGCACATAAAATAAGCATGAAACATATAAGTTACTCTATTTACAAACAGTGCATTTTGAAGGCCTACATTCTGACCCACCCAAAATAAAGACCCATACTGCTATAGAAAATTTGAATCATATTTAATTTTAACAGGTCAAAAAGAGAGATAAAGCAGCCTTTTACCTCAAACAGAATATAACCTAGAATTAAATCTCTGCCTTAACCCAGATGCTACAAAATGAATGGGAACCATCTCCCTGTTTCAATAATGCATCCACTAACCAGGAGAGACCATTTTTAACATGGGGATTCTCTATACAGGAAATAAGAGTTTCATAAAATCAGAAGAATAGCTAGCTATCTTAATCCGGTTCAAATACTGGACTCAAATCTGGTCTGTCTTGTTTCCCATGGGACTGTAGATGACACTTAATTATATAACATGTAATTAAAAAATCAATTTACCAAGGTAAACCAGACAATCCCTCTGATCAATTGGTCTCAGACCTCAGAACTCAGTAAACACGTCAGTTGCTTTCTTGTTTTGAAGCTGTGGAGAGAACTGCAGATTTTGACGCTGGCCAGGTCTTTGACCACCCCCTCCTAGCTGCAAGAGAGATATGAAAACAAACAGTTTTAAAGGTGCTGTTATAAGATACATGACTTGGAATATTGAAAACAGAGATGAGGAAATACTGGATTGTTTTTCAAATTCTGTACAGCTGAAACATAGCTCAATATTGTTTAAAATGACTGTTTAAACTGCCTGCTTTCACAAAATGTACTTTTTTAAAATCATTTTGTAGTTTTACCATAGATAAGTATGTACTTTAATACATTAATTAAGATATACAGACATAAAACATAGGCATACTGTATTTTACCACATGATCACATCTTAAATGTGCAACTACACTACGGGCTAGTTCCAGACCAACAATGATTCCTTGTTGTAAAAACTGATGACTGTATGATGTAAGGGATTGAAAAAGTAATGGAAAACAAGTGAAAATAAATAATTGAAAGCAGTCAGTGTTCATTCTTGTCTCCTAAGCTCCCCGTCTAGCAGATAGCAATGGTTTAATTGACAATGGTTTAATTGATCAGAAGTTTTCTTACAGCACCGCTTTTGGATATGTAGCAAAACTGTATTGGTCAGTGTCTGGTGGGCCATGGGGCAGTAGTCCAGTTGTCTCTAGTGCTCTGGGGACATGGTCATTGGGATAAGGGATGACAAAATAAAGCTGAGCCACTTGTATCAACCATTTTCACAGCTTGTGAAGAAGATGTCCCGAAAGGTTGAGGGACTTTCACCAACTAAGACAACCCATGGCTCTTAGGGTTACATATTTTTCCACAACAATAGAAGAGCATTTAGGTGTCTAAATACAGAATTGCACCCTTTATTGCACAGAGATGGCAAACCAGCCTTAACCTTTTCTTTTAGAGCAGAAAAACAAAACAAAATGAATATTTTTAGCAAAAAATAGAAGAAAAAAATGAAAAAATTAAAATTAACAAAAGTTACCAAAAAAGACATCTTGGCATAACCTTCAAAGGAACAGGTATCAGTTAAAACGTAATTTTTCAGGCTGAAAAATAAAAAAAAAAACATTTTGGCTGTAAAGCCATCTTCAGGTGTGAGAGAGAGTAAATCAGTGAGAATATAAAACACAAGAAAACAAAGGACTGAGCAGGTGAGAATGGACACGCAAGTGAGAAAGAGTGTGCACAGGAAGAGAAAGAGCTGAAACCGTATATGAAAAGGGTTTTGAAAATAAATTAGTCCTGGTTAGTCTTGGAAAATTGTTTTAGATAAAAAACTATTAAGATCTCCTATGGTAATGGTTACTGTTTATTACGGTATGGTTATTGCACCACTGAAGCTCTTCAAGCGTTTCAGTAAGATTAGTAAATGAACACCAATAATCTGTCTTTCTCTTCTGACAGGGACAGCTGGCTGCCTTGAGCCAGACCAATGAGACCAACCAGAGGCTTACCAGCTCTGTACGGGCTCAGAGTGACCTACAGGATGAACTGAGTTGCCTGCAAAGCCAGTTCAGCCAAGTCAGCCTAGTGAGTGACACCTGGGTGTTATGATTCCATCTACTCGCTGCCAGAGGGCACCCCAAGCGCTGGCGACTGAACGGGCTGTGCAGTAGAAGCACAGATGATGCAGACAGCTGTAACCAGTCACAAGCTGACCAGTGTACCTGGGGCTCCACTCAGCTCTATATGAACTGTGCTCTTACTCCCAGTAAACAGTGCTCAGTCTTGTGACCTCTGGTTTGAGCTCCAGATTTGACTTACCTGTTTCTCCTGATTCTTGTACCCTGTTTCTTGCCTTGCTCCTTTCTCTTGTACTGCCAGCCCATTGTCCTTGTTTTCCGTGCTTACATTGTTTTCTCCTAGTTCCTCTATGTTTCAGTTTTTCCAGATTTTTGGCTTGTTATCCCTTGGATTGCCTTCCTGGATTGGGTATTGGGTCTGTTTTTGTACTTTGCCTCTGTATCTCATCTTCTAGTTACTACTTTTCACTTCTAGTCTCTTGGTTCCTGCACAGTGTCTGCTTCCTTGGTTGTTTGGCTGTTTCTATCTTAGTACCTCCACTCTGACTGTTTTTCGCTTCAGCCCTGGCTACTGTGACAGGGAGGATGTCACTCCCCAGACATTTCTGTCTGGCCTGTAGAGCCTATACAACTTCCCTGCTTCTCAACTTTTACCTCTCCAAAACACTGTCTCCCACACTCTTTTAAAGGGGAACTGCAGTCCCAATTTCTCTGACCGGTTATTACATCTTGGGAATAAAATAAGTTAATTGACAGTATTGCAAAATTTTATGAATTCGGAATTAAACACAAAATTGTGAACTTTGTAAAAGTACTGTGTGGTCTCCATTTTGTCGCGGACCGCTGATCTTGGGCGAGAGCGAGAATTTGCACAAATTGCAATGTAAAGTGGCCCCATCCTGCTCATAACTTGCTGTAATGACTACTACTGTAATGTACTGTGATGTACGAACAAATAAGTAAAGGTTGTGCAGCAGACATTTTGCTACAAAAGTGTTCCAACGTGATCTGCATGCAGAGTTAACAAGTAAGTAGTACTTGCGGGCAAAACTGTCTCAAAATCAAGAGCAATATTTCTGTTGGATTAAAAGAGCTGTATTCACAAGCCTGCTTGTTTACAATGTCATAGGGCTGCTTCACCTCACTGGATGTTTGGTTGCCTCATTTTGAATCACAGAATATGGCATGGCACATACCTTTAAAGTTTGTCTATTTTGTGATGTAAATTGGAGGTTTTACATATTACTGTGTACTTTTTATGTTCATTGTGGTTTGAAATGCACTCATCAATGCCAGTTGATGCCATGTGAAATGGAAGGTCTTGTCCTTTGTTCCCAGGAGAAGGAGCTCTTGTCATCCAAGAACCTGAGACTGGAACAGAAGCTCGAAGACTTGAAGATGACACTTTCTGGGGCCCTGGCTGATAAAGAGCGCTTCCTGCAGGTACACCAAGTTACCCAGAACAGGTCGGGTTTGTCTCTGTTAGCACTGTTATAGGACTGAAACACTCTGGGAGTGGGTGATGGCAGACGATTTGCCTTCTTTGTTTCTGTTGCAAGAGATACATTTATGACGAGCAGGTGCTTCAGCAAAGCACTTCATTGCCGTTTGCTGCAGATCAGCTGAAATGAGTACATTTTGATAAAAGTATTATCAAATAAATGAACAGTAGTGAAGGAGTATCTCTGTGTGCCTGTGCAGGAGAAGGCAGAACTTCACCAGCGTGTCCAGGGGCTGGAGCTGGAGCTGGAACGTGCTAAGCTGGGCCGTGAGGGTTTCACTGAACAGGTGTCTGAGCTGCACAAGGAGCTGGTAGGAGCCAAGGCCCAAGCAAACCGACAGGACCAAGAGAAAGTGCTGATGAAGGAGGAGCTGTTCACTGTCAAACAGGTGTGCAAGAAAAGGGCCTCAGCACTGGGACACTTGGAACTGCCTCAGTGTTGCATTGTCAGTGAAAACGTGAGATTGTTTTCACCTGGCTTGATGATCTTTTATCTGGACTTTTTTTAGTTCCTTCAAGAACTGGACTATGTACATTAAGTCTTAGTTATAATTTTGTCAGCGGTCATACTCATGTTGCTCTTGTTGGCAGGGTGCCTTCAGTAAAAGCAAACTAGCGAACAAAAAGCAAACTTTACTGCAATCCTTTTATAAAATATTGCCAGGAATATTAGTGGTACAGTGTCTACAGTATGTGAGGGCGTGTTCAGTGTGGATTAAGGGTGACGTGTTGCCTTCCCAAACGCAGCTATCCTGGCTAATTAAGGAGGAGCTGCAGCAGTGGGGGCCCTTTAAGACACACTGAGGGCTCCAGTCCTGATACTCCCACAAGGGGAGAATGTTCCAGACAGTCCTGGAGGCGATGGGCGGGTTTTCTTTTGTTTTTGGCCTCGCTCCTTTTCTTCCTGTCTAGATCCTGCTAAATAGGGACAGTCCAGTCTGGGTGCCACCGTGCAAAGCGGTGCACTTTTTCTTATTCCTTTTCTTTTCTTGAGGGTTTTGGCTTGCCTCACACCAGTGCCTTCGTCCCCCCACATGGGGCGTCAGCTGTCACCCGTGTTCACTGTGGCTCCTCCCACTCCCACACTGTTACAGGTAGCAGAGACGAGGTTTACGCACTGCAGACAGAAAACCTCTTGGAAAATTTGACTTTTTATAACAGTGGCTCACAGACAAAGTTTCACGCAGACAAAACCCTATATAGAGTATAAATCTGAGTTTTCAGGTAGATGTGCTTTCTATGAGTGCTCTTCAGGTTATACTGTATGTTCTATGTTTGGTGTGGTTGCTTATTCCACCCCCCAGGTGAACGAGAGGGTGGCCTCAGAGTTGGCCGAAGTGAAGCAGAGACTGGATACAGCACTGCAGCAGGTGCACGAGCTGGAGGCGGAGAAAGTGATCCACACTAATCAGATCAGTGCCCTGGAGATGGAGCGCTCCCAGCTCATCGGAGAAAAGGAACTGCTGATGGGCACAGAGGTGGGCCACCTGGGCCACCAGGAAGAGCTTCAGGAGCTCAGAGAGACCTGCCAAGCTCTGAGGTGATCTGGGGATCAGACAGGAGGCGTGGAATGCTGGGGGCATGGAAAGATATTTGCAAAAACAGGCTAATTTTTCATTTTTCCCAGATTAAAATCATTTGGACTCCATATTTTGATATTTTGGCTTATTTTTTCACCTGAATTAAAGGTATAATTGCAGGGGTCACTCCTTGAGTTGATGAAGTTGACTTCAGAGAGCATTCCTGCTTGATTTTACAATCCAGGAAGGACTTCTCAGGATATAATGTGAGACGATACCAATGTATAAAGCCAACATCCATTTAAAAGGTTATAAACACTGCTCTTAAATGCAAATTGCCCATTCCTGTGTTTTATAATAGGTGTGTTGAAAATTAAAAGCTATCTAAAAAATTGTCCATACTTTATTATAGGTGCTTTCAAGTGCCTGGTCAACTGTTGACAGGGATCGCTGTTATATTGTGAGTCAAGGATCCGCTTGGCTAGATCCAGTTCAGCTAGACTCTGACAGCAGTTAGCTATTTCTGTTTCCCAGTGTCCCTCAGTAGTTGTCACTCTATGGAAGAGTCTGGGATTGCAATGGCAGCTTCCAGATAATGACTGCTCATGCAGGGCAGAGGCTTTAGAAAGCAGAGACATTTGGGAGCCTCACAGCCTTTCATTTTCTCAGTTTTTGCTGCACATAAATCAAACATAAATATAAATCAAATCTTAAAACAAAGACTTATTTATATAAAATTACATTTTAATAGTTTGTAGCAGTTTTCTGGTTGGTTGTGTTGCAGTATGAAATGACTTTAAATATCCGGTTGTATCTGCTGTATTGCTTTCTGCAGGGATTCCCAGCAGGCTCTGCGCTCTGAGAACCAGGAGCTGCGGAGCTGCTGCCAGGAACAGGGGGCGGATCTTCGTGTGAGAGAGGCTGGACTCCGTCAGAAAGAGGAGGAGCATGAAGAGCAGGTGAAGGGCTTGCTGAGCCAGGTGGAAGAGCTGCAGAGGGTGGCCGCACACTGGAAGGAGAGGTGGCAGGAGGCGGCAGTGGCCCTGCGGTCCAGGGAGCTGGAGGTGGACCTGGAAGAGGCTCAGGGGCAGCCACAGACCCCCGCTGACACGGTACCCCCAAATAACTGACGCGTCCTGCCCTTTAAACTTCCGGGATAGACTGAATCAAGTTTAATGCAGTGTAGCTGTAAATGAATGAAACAGATAACAGATTAATAAAACTGTACAACAAATATATGCTCTTTTACTACATGTTTATCTGCTTTACAGAGTCCAAAATAGCATTTGAAAGCAGGAGCATAATAGTCCTCAGCAGCACTGCAACAAAAGCGGGAAAAGCTCATTTTTAGTACTTTTCTCTGAATATTATAAACACAGCTAAGAACACCTTTGACTGCTAACATCACGGACTGCTTCCCGATCCGCACTAACACTGTGAGCACTCCCCCTTCCTGTTTAAACACAAACCCTAAATACACCCACGTGAGTGTGCGTTCCCAGTCGTTTCTCAATCATACAGGAATATCCAGCAGGTGGAACTATCTTCAAGTAATTTGCTAGTGTTAGTGTCCTTTACATGAGATAAACCACCTCACAAATATTCAAGCTCACTAACCATTGTGTAAGTGTGAGTTTTTGATCATTTGAATGAATGAACAATTTAAAGAGTTTCATGAAGCTCAGGAACACTTTAGTTCCTAAGGATTCTTTTACAATGAATTATGCGAACAATGTATCATTATACCACAACTGAAATTTGACCAGTCCAACCCCACTGACTCCAATTATTTTAATACATCAGCAGCCTCAGATG